CTGCTGCTGCTGCGTATGCCCTGGCATGCGAGCGAGATGTCAAGGAGGGAGTCTTAAAAGAGGACGTCTCACCCATAGAGAGATAGCTGGCCAGCGTCTCTCTATAGGGGCATCTTCTCATAACCGCTTTCGCGCATCGCCTCGATGTTGGCATAACTTGTATGCTAGAAATCGATGGATGCGTGAGGAAGAGGGACGATCACGAGAGGGAAAACCCCTCTTCAAACTCATCGGCCAGATCTCATTCTCCAACGAGCTCATTCTCCTCCGTGCCTCAGCAGCGGCGGGACCTGAAATGCGGTAAGCAGATGGCTGCCTGTCTTTCCTCGAAAAGAGAGACAAACGAGAGCGGAGCTTTTTCACTGGAAAAACGCTTGCAGTGCACGCCGATTGTCCCCTCGGAGACATTGCGTGCGTGCTCTTCGCCCAAACAAATAACGCATAGATCGTGTGTGTGATCTTGTTCACAAGACTTTTGAGAACGGGATCTTGAAGTCTAGAGTTTTTGCTTCAAAATTATGTGAAAATCATCTTACTCACTCATTCACAGAAAACAATATATTGATTTAAAATTTCTAAGACACTTCTTGTGTAGAAAAGGTATATGCAATGGGGGGCGTGAATGGTCATGCATAATGCTGTGATTCGCACCTGAGAAGACAAAGGCCCACATAATGAGCTGCGTAATGAGCCTTTCAGTCAGGTGTGTGACTGAGAGGGAATTGCTACCAGAACGAATGTGAGGAAAAAAGAAATGTATATATTTTTTGTTTGTAGTTTATTTAGAATATATAACTATCACATAAAATAACTTGAGATTCACTTGCGAGTGCAGTTAAACAGTTTATTAGAAAAACAACAACAACAACACGAGAGTCAAGACGTCATGGTTGCAATATCCAAAATATCCAAAACAGGGCAGGAAACTTGAACAACATTTTGAAGAGACTCATGGGAGTGTGTGCATCACATGGTCTCAGCAGTGGTCCATGTTCCTGTGCTGGCAGGAATCTCAGAGCCTTTAGAACATGTCAACATCAGTCTCTGTTTTCCATGACCGAGTGGGCTGCTTTGCTTTGGCTCTCTTTGCAACAGGTTCTTTTGCACTGTTATTCTTACATCTGAAATAAAAAAAGTAAGCATGCTGTTTACACAAACTACATTATTAACATTATTGTGATGTTCACTGGTACTAGTACTAATTTGTCGAAACAAAGAACACTATTACCACATAGCAAACATATTTTACAGTAAATAAATCTAATGAAAGTAACATCTGTAAAATAGTGAATACACACTTACTCTAAGATTCTGAATGGAGTTGAAAACTGAACGAGCGTTCCCTTCCTGTGTGAGATGTAGGTGAAGGCAAGAGTGGTGTATTCAGTTCTAAAAGAATTTTATAAACAATCGTTAGCATTTTTTTCCACACAGTACCTTAGTATAGTATGTATGCTTCATGAGAAAACAGAATGCCAATAACAAAGAAACTACATTTTAACACTATCAACCACAAATAATATTACCATATAGTCTAGGCATAATAAAAGTACAATTACTATACTGTGCACTTACTCAGTATAATTTTCCAGCGAACTCAAAACTGAACGACACTCGTGTGCCTTTCTTGTGCAAGATGTCTGTGATGCAGCCACAGTCCTAAACGAAAATTGAAACAGTTTCAAATATTTCAGCATCATTACTCCAGTCTTCAGTGTCACGTGTTCCTTCAGAAATTATTCTAATATTCTAAATTTGCTGCTCAAAAACATTTATTATTATTATTACTACTATTATTATTATTGTTGTTGTTGTTGAAAACAGCTGAGCAGAATTTTTTCAGGTTTCTTTGATGAATAGAAAGTTCAGAAGAACAGCATTTATCTGAAATAGAAATCTTTTGTAACATTATAAATGTATTTATCTTCACTTTTGATCAATTTAAAGCATCCTTGCTAAATAAAAGTATTAATTTCTATAATTTCTTAACCCCTGTCAGGGAGTCTCTGTCATCATTCACGAGCTCCGGACTCCATACCCCAGAATCCTCCCCGGCTCACACCTGTTCACAGTCACGATCACCACTCACTCCAGATCACCTGCACCTGCCATCTCCAATCAAGCCACCTTCAAAAGCACGCTCCTTCCAGTCACTCATCGTCCGATCTACCATTCACTACAGCAAGCTCACCAGACTCTTTCCTGTTATTTACCTGTTGTCTCTACTTACCTCCAGTGTCTCCTACGTTCCAGCGATCCTATCCCTCGTCGACCCTGTTCATTCCCCGGACTCCTGCAACAGAGCAGACTCCTATTACCCAGCGCTAAGAACCCTACAACTCACTCTTATTCTCACGACTTACCTGCCATCTGCCTTTCACCATCTGCCCACTGCATCTGTTAATAAACTATCCTGTTTGCACTCTTACCTCATGTCTCTGCCTTGTGTACCGTGACAGAAGATCGGACCCCAACATTCACTTCTAATGGATTCCCTGGAGCAGTTGTGTTCATTATATCAAGACGGCCGTCCCCTGGATGAGTACATCCATGAGTTCCTCGCCTGCTCAGAGCGGATTTCCCTCGACTGGTGGACTCTGGTGGACTGCTTCCGAGGGGGTTTGGATGAGGGGATCGCTCAGCGAATGGCGCTGGCAGGGTCCAGGTGGAGGTCTGATGTCAAGCCCGCCAGCCACGGCTCTCTCCAGCCCGCCGGCCGTTCCGATGTCAAGCCCGCCGGCCACGGCTCTCTCCAGCCCGCCGGCCGTTCCTGTGGCAAGCCCGCCGGCCGTTCATGTGGCAAGCCCGCCGATCTTTCCTTTGGAAAGCCCGCCGGCCGCCCAATTCACCTCTAGCCAAAAGAGGAGGATGAGGAGAAAGGTACTGTTCTCTGCCCTCATCCCTGCTCCAGAGCTCGCTCCAGTGTTGGCTCCAGCCCCAGTTCTCTGCCCTCATCCCTGACCCAGAGCTCGCTCCATTGTCGGCTCCAGCCCCAGAGCTCGCTCCAGTGTCGGCTCCAGCCCCTGAGTTGGCTCCAGTGCCAGCTCTTTGAAAGCGCCTTGCTGTGCCTGCTCCTCCAGAGCACCCTCCAGTGCCAGCTCCTCGTAAGCACTTCACAGTTCCCGAGTATAGCCCACGGAGGGCTCCAGTTCCTGAGTATAGCCCACGGAGGGCTCCTGTTCCAGAGTATAGCCCACGGAGGGCTCCTGTTCCAGAGTATAGCCCACGGAGGGCTCCTGTTCCAGAGTATAGCCCACGGAGGGCTCCTGTTCCAGAGTATAGCCCACGGAGGGCTCCTGTTCCCGAGTATAGCCCAAGGAGGGCTCCTGTTCCCGAGTGTAGCCCAAGGAGGGAGCTCCCTGCACCGCCATGGCCTCCTGAGCTCCCTGATCCGCCCTGGAGGCCTCACGTGTTTCCGTCTTGGACCAGCCTCCAGGACGCCCTCCCCCCCTCCCCGGTGGATATGTTACGGCATGGTATGCGCCTTCCAGGAGGGGGAGGTAATGTCAGGGAGTCTTTGTCATCAGTCACCAGCTCCGGACTCCAAACCCCAGAATCCTCCCCGGCTCACACCTGTTCACAGTCACGATGACCACTCACTCCAGATCACCTGCACCTGCCGTCTCCAATCAAGCCACCTTCGGGTCCTCGAGAGTTCCTCGCCTCCTTCATTGAGTGGGTGCTGGTGTCCTGTAAATCGCCGCTCACGGTGGATATTGCGGATGACGACACCAGCCCAACTCCAGACCCAGATCCCAGCCCACCATCACCCCGATGCGCGGAGCCAAAGCCTG